AGAGACAAGGACAGTACTCATGGTCCTCCTGAATGTGTTGATGGTGTAATTCTTCTGGATAAAGAAAGGGAATTTTTAAAAAAAAAAAAAAAAAAAGGAGGGGGGAGGAGGGCAAACTAAAATCTTATAAACTGAAAAAAAGTGGAAATAAAATATTTAATTCAGCAGAATTCATTCCAATCCAGTGCAAATCACCTGAACCCCAGCCTCCTAGAGTGGTAATTCAAGCAAGCCTCCTCTCATGAAACCTCCCCACCGGGCCTGCTCTCCTAAGAGCATGCTTCTCTCAAATAGTTTTTTACTGAGTCCTATTCACTGTGGGTACTAGTCTGTAGTTCAACAGCTACCTGGTGAATGTTAAAACTTTCACCCTAAACCTCCCAGTAGATCTGCATATTAGTGGAAGAAATGCAGAGACAAGGCTTTAATTCAGTGCTTATTTTAACCAAAGGGAATCCCAGTACATCTAACTAGAGATGGAAATCCCAAAAACTCCCAAGAGCTCTACAGAAAGTAGCTAGAGAACTAAGCCCCCCCCCTTTTTTCCCAAAGATTTATTTATTTGCATACAGAACTGGGGTACAGGCCAGAGGTGCAGAGGTACAGGGAGAGGATTCACTAGAGACAGAGTGGGGTACAGAACAGGCTGACAAGTACACTGCTGAGGGGAGCAGGGGGTGGATCAGGAGAGGCCTGACGGTGCCATGTGTATCACCTCAGGAGTGGGGATAGAAGGCATGCTGAAGTGGCTTTTTAGCTTCTTAGTGCTGTGCTTTAACCTTCTGCGCCACCAGGGAGGGCCCCTAAGTCCTTTTCAATAATATCAACTGCAATAGAGTAAAATGCCTCAAATGCTCAAATCTATGAGTTCATAATGCCATTAAAAAACAAAAAACCTCTCATTCATCATCTTTGGAGGATGTTAAAGGGCCAATACATTATCCTGAAAACTCTCTCTTTAATACAAACTGTGCTCATAAGTTTCTTAAATTGTTTAAAAAAAAATTTTCTTGGTAATAAGTGAGAGACAAGCAATAGGATTTAAATGGCAGTATTTTGCTACTCCTAATGAAAGTGAATCTAAGCAATGGTCATGTTTTTTAATCTCACAGAGGGACAACCAAATGCTGAGTGCCTCTTGACAAAAGTAAACAACACTTCTTGGGAAGTTTTCATGCCAAAAGAACATCAACAAAAAAAATACCGGATCTGAAAATACCGGATGTGATCAAATCTCTTTCTCTTACTGCCATTTTTATATAGCAAATGGAAGGCAGAGGAACATGTCAAACATCATAAGGATGAAAACAGCAAATCCAGAATGTGGGAAGCTCTAGGATACGAAGATCTGTTTTCCTTTACAATAAATTACAAAAAAAAAAAAAAAAAAAAAAGGGCAGAGGTTAAAACGGAGTTAAGAGGCCTCTCAACACATTACAATGCATGAATCATAGTTGAACTCCATTTCAGCAAATGCTCAAACTCAGTTAAAAAAGAAATGTATAAGGTGTTTGTGAAAACGTGAACATTATGGGACATTTATTGGTGCTAAGAAAGGAATGATTTTTAGAGGTTACAACCATTTTTAGAGGTTAAGAGGGTCTTAAGTGGATGTTTATTATAAACAAACCACTGAAAAGTCTTGAGTGTTTTAGGAAAATTTGACATTGTTTGGACATTTCTAATTTAAATGATTATCAATGATTTAGGTATGGTAATCACAATGAAAATAACCTTTTAGAGATATATACAATATTTATGGTTGAAGTAACTATTATCTGGAAATTGCCTCAAAATAATCCAAAGGGTCAGGACGGGGGAACGATATGAAGACTGGTTCTGAACTAATAATTGAGGACAGAGGGTGGGTAAGGGCATTTCTTTATATCATTCACTCTACTTTTGTATGCTTTTACATTAAAACTTTGAAGCAATCTTTGGTGTTAGAATTAAGGTCATGGTTACGTCAGAAGAAGAGACTGGGAGCCACAAGTAGGGCATCTGGAGAGGTGGGAATGTTCACTGGACTGGGGTAATTCATCACTCTAATTCATCGTTGCGGTTTGTGCACTTTTCAGCGTATACACACTGCTTAAAATAAAATAAAATAAAATAAAAAATAAAAAAAGATCTACAGCTTCAATGCACGGGCAGACACCACCGGTAGAACAGCAGGTAAGCAAGTTATTTTTGAGCAGAAAGGTAATACTGATTGACCCAAGCTCTTGCCTCAGTTTCTTCATCTCTAAGGGGAATAACGGCAGCTGGGTTAGCCAGCTGCAGTGAGCACTAGCTGGATCAGCGCCCGTGAAACGACTGGCACAGAACCCAGCACACAGTTAGGCTAACCTTTTGTTTTAAGTCAGAGGGGCTGGCCTGCATTCAGGCTCCGCTCCACTCATACACTGCAGTGTAGGTACACCGCGCTAACAGCACCCCCAGTGTAACCGTGATCTCCACTTCACTACAACGACGGCTCCCCATCACCCTTTCCCAAAGTCTCTAAACAAAACACTCTAAATGCAGGTGAAGAGACAGAGGCACCGGGGCAGCACAACCATTTAAGAACTCAGCTATCTTCGGCACAGGGCAAATGCACCCACGCAGAGGGCGAGCCAGCCCCACAGCCATAGCCTCACCCTCACCCTGGCATCGCCCCTCTCGCGCCGCTCCACCCCAACCTTCCAATGGGGACGCGCGGAGTAAAAGCCTCATATCGCCCCTCCTCCCTCCCCCAATCAGCGAGCCCGCACCAGGTCACAGGCCAATCAGGGCGCTCCACATGCAGAGGGCAGGCCTCCGCGCACGCGCGCCCGGGCAGGCTTCCCTACCGGCCCACGCCCAAACGCCGGGCTGGCGGTGAAGCACCACTATCTCCGCAGAGGCCACAGTGCCACCTACTGTCCACGCTCTGGAATGCAGCCATCAGCGCGTTCCTGACCACGTGCCTTACCTTCTCCCGGCAGAAATGCCAGCCCAAATAGTCGAATAACAGGAAAAACATGTAGCTCGTTAGGAGCGACGTTTTGTTTTAATTAAATCCTGTGACAAATATATCTCAAACGGCCTCTTCTTTCGAGCAGTTTTACCATAGTCTCAAAACCTTTTCACTTCCCACATTTTGCATAGCTTAGGGACTTGCTCATTGCACATATTTTTAGAGTACCTTGTAGGTAAGGCTATTTTCTGAGGCAAGCATTATCATCCCTACTTTAGGTAAACTGAGGATGAAGTTAAGTGACAGTTTCTTAAAGCTGGAACAGCTAGAGTTCACACCTTCACACCCACATGTCCTGCGCTCAAACGCAGAAGCTTCGCATCACACTGCAGAATTATGGTACAAAGTACTGTAAGAATACAGGTGAAAGAAAGATGAGTTCTAACTAAACAAGGATTCAATCCGAGGGTGTTCCAGGTGGTGATATTAGTAAATGGTAGCTAGTTCTGTTTTTAACAAGAGAAAACAATTACCTCTGTGTAATACCTGCCAGCTACAGACTACCATACTCCTTCCATGGCAAATAGCTGCTGCTTATTCAAGAGTACGTGACAAAGTTCTCCTACATTTGTCTCTGACTAACAGAACTAACCATATTCCATACCACGCTGTCCACTATAATGGTCTCCTTTCCTGATTTCCCTTCATATCTAGGGACGTGTCCATAGCTTTCCTAAAATATATCTTTCTCGTTTCTACCTTCACATACAAAACAATCTTTGCAATATAATTGAGCCCATGTTGATTTCATCACTAGAACAGTTGTTCTCAAAAGGACCACGATTGCCCCTAGTGGGCATATTAGAATATGAGGGGTTTTGTTGTTTTTTTCCTATCTCAATGAATGCAGAGGGCATTACTGTAACTAAAGGTCAGAAGACAGCAAAATTAGATAACCCCCAATGTGACTGTCTAATATAGCAAAATATGATCCCTGTTGGGAATTTTCAACATGAAAAGAAGGGCATGAAAGAGCCCTATGGGGATGAACTGAAACTGTAGGTTTCAGTATTAACTCATTATTTGAATCACATGTGCATGCATACACACACACACACACACACACACACACACTCATCTTCATTCTCTACAGCTCTGCTTTGGCTGGCCCTTGCCAGTACACCCATTCCAGTACTCAAAAATACTGGTCTTACAATCATATTATCAGGAGAGAAAAAGAGAACTTAGTTAAATTCCTCACACACACACACACCAGCCTCCAGCCATTACAGACAGATATCAAAGAATATCTTTGTGCCCCAGTTATGGGAAGAATCCACAAACACAGGGATTTTATTCTTATTACACATATGTCAAAACAAGCAGAGAACAAAAACTAGGGGAAGTATTAGTTCAGCACTAGAATTGGTTCAAATATTTTTACATTGGTCATATAAACTATCACTGATTACCGGCCTTATCAATGTCCCACTGATGCCATAATAGTGTAAGGTAGACAAAAATTAAAAGTAGTAGATTCAGTGATTTCTTTTAAGGCTTGCTATTTTATAAAAGAAAGGTTGTTATCTATGTAGCATGACATAGGGAACAGAGAGAGGGTGGCATAATTAGGAGCTTGCTGCCTGAGAAGTGTTAGCTGTTGACCTTCCCTAAATGACTTAAATGGGATCATAAAACAGCTTTCAAGTTTATCACCTGCTAATGATAGAAGGAAGAAAGATCTCTGAATAAAAAAGGAGGAAATCTAAAATATATTTTCTCTGCAAATAATAAAATAGGCTGCATAGAATCTAACTGTATGATAAAATTGGCCAAAACACAGGAAAGAAAAGATTTCTTTGTATAGGTCAGTAATCAAGTTAAAAAATGAATTAGAAATCTGTAGGACAATAAAAATGATTTTGCAAAGTATGAAACAAATCATATGTTTTAACACTTAAAATGGGCTTATGTAAATTGGGTCATCATACATCATTACATGGATATGAATATGAGCTACATGCCAAATATTATAGAGTGACTGAATGACACAGGTACCCACCCAGGTGACAATCTTCTTTTTCTCTTGCATCCCATTTGTGACTGTCCACATATGCCGCAGAAAGCAGGTATCTTTTACCTGAGGAAAAAAACAGTTAACAGACATGGTTCTACAATGGGATCCGTTTAGGTATCTATTTTAATAAACATATCTTTGTCATATTTCCAACTTACTAAAGTATTTAAAGGTTCTAAAACTCTAGAATAGAATCTATTATAATAACCAACAGTGCATTGTTTATCATTCAGTTTATGACAAAATGCATTCAACCTTCAACAAGTAGGAGATGCAGAAAACTGAAAACTTTTACAATAGTATTGTGGGTAAAATGCTGATCCTTCTGTTCCTGTTTAGGACCAACTTTAGGACCACTAGTTCCACTGAATGAAGTGAGCCCTAAAACTTTTGAGAAGGCAACTTAATCTGTTGTGCTACTGTTAACTAAGAATGCTTAACAATCATCTTACAGTTTAAGATTCTTTAATTTGTTACTACAGAAAATCACTACTTAAGACAAAACTCCCTCTTTATATAAGTCTTTTAAAGCAGGATGTTGGCCCCTCCCTGGCGGCCCAATAGGTTGAAGCACCACACTGTGAAGCTGGCAGATGCCACTTGGGTGTGAGTTCGACCCCTGCCCTGGAGGTGACCCACATGGTGCAGCAGGCCTCTCCAGTCTCGCCCGCTGCTCCCTTCAACGGTGTACTTTGTCAATCTGCCTGTTCTGCTTCCCACTCTGGCTCTGGTAAATCTTCTCACCCCTGCACCTCTAGCCTGTACCCCGGTTCTGTATGCATAAATAAATAAATATTTTTTTAAAAATAAAGCAGTATGTTCACCTGTTTCTGAGAAACTATAAATGGTGCCATTTATACTATCTGCAGAGTATTTGGAAGGTCTGTGTATTAGAATAAAAAATTTCTATAGTGTCAGAGACATAACATTGCATTCAGTGGAGAATGGCAAAGTGGAAAATCTAGATTAGTTTTTCAGACTTCAATGTATGTATCAGTCCTAATAACATACAGATTCTGATCAACAATTCTGGGGAAGAGTCAGATTCTACATTTTTGATAAGTTTCCAGGTAATGATGATGATGCTGGCCCTCAGACTACACCTGAAATGAAAGACAAAATATCAACCTCAGGGATTTAGGCCTACGAGCCTATTTTAACCATACTTTAATATACTGCTCAAGAGTCTATACAAGCTCTTTGAAATTCTCATAAATTCTTACCCTTCAGCCAGTTTTTAGGGCAACCATATTCTCTAAGATAACTATTATATGAAGAGTTTCTTCATTTAATTCTGAGAAAGATATATCAAGGGTCATACTTTCAAAGTTCAGTAAAAACTGACTCTCTCCTTATCCTTATTCATTTATATTTATAAAAGTAACCTTTTTGGCAAATGTCTGCAAACATGTTTACCAACCATCCAAGGGAAGCAGTGTGATTGAAGACAGATACTCTTCAGAATCAGAAAGTCTCAGTTTGAATCCTTGCTTTGTGATAACTGCTATAAAAATGAAGGCAAGTAACCTCAGATCTCTGAACCTCATTCTTAAATAAAACAGAGAAATAATGCTTACATTGTAGTTTAAATGAGGGCATACATTAAGCCTACCTTAACATTCATTATGTAGTAGGTACCCATTAAGTTTGCTTCCTCTAACCTCTTCATATACTCAAGTCATTTTTTTCTATATCTCAATAAATTTGCTTTTCAATCTCTTAATTATTTTAGTTGCCCTCCACTGTGTTGTAAGTAAAATCAACAGAAGCACCAACTGTTCTAAATATGATTTGTCAAGCATTTACACAAAGGAGCATATTTTCCCTCTCCACTTATAATGGATCATGTTTTGAGGGCTTAAAGTCAAGCTCCTATGAACAGTCTCAAATTCCCAGTGGTCCATGGTATACTATCTTACATACTTTAAGTCTCCAGTTCCTGGTTTCAAGACAGTGCTTGTTCACTATTAACTTTCGGTATAGGAAACATGCAATTCTGCGCTGTCTATGATTGCAATTAATCACAATGGTTACTGGACACTTAAAATGTAGCTAGTCTGGTTAAGCAACTGAATATTAAATTTATTTAATTTTAACTAATTTAAATAACTAATGTCACTAGTGGTGACAGTAGCACTGGTGTGACCAACCACTAGACCAAAATGCTAATTGATTCTTTCAATTCACCCTTAACTAATTTTTCCCCCTTGTTCAAATGATTAACCACCACCGTCCAGCTTCCCCCCTCCCCAAAAAAAGAAAAGCATTCTAAATTCAGGTTTGTTTAAACTTACATTTGTAATTAGAGATAACTGGTACAATAGCTACCTACAAGAGCTAATTTTTAGTAAGGTGCCAGATACTGCACATTCCTTTTTACCTAATGTGTTATAAAATATTTTGCCAGCTAGGTCAACCAGTTAATCCTCAGAAAACTTGTGGTAGAGAATTAGGAGGTTTCACATTATATTTAATGTTCCTAAATGTAAATGGTTTTCACATTATATTTAATGTTCCTACATACCAAGTGTGTATGTATTGTTCTATAGAGTCCAGAAGAGGCAGTTGGAAAGAGGAAGACAAATGGCACTTAACACCTGGATTGTAATAATTACATTTTAAACACATAAGGTTAATACCTGTTAAGAACTAACTTCTGTGTTAACATTTTCCCGCCCAGTGTCATAAGACCAAACTGGTTTCGAATGGGCTGCAATTCAACTCAGATAGCAAGTACTTCCAAAGAAACCGTTAGCATCTATTTTCTACACGTGTCAACTGCAGCACAGAAAGGTCAACCAAAAGTTGTGTCCAAGGTCACTAGGTAAAGTGAGATTGGTACTTTATTAAGAATTTAGGAAAGTTCTTCCATGAAATGAAGTCCAGGAGTCTATCCAAACGTGAGCTAATGTGGGGGACTTTTATGACGACCCTCCAAGGAAACCTCAGCAGAGACAAAATTTTCATAGCCGAGGGGTTAACGTACTCGAGTGTTTCACGATCAGCAAAAAATCATCACCTTAACCCACAAACCTGGACAATAATACACAAAAGTCCTCATGTTAAGACCTTCCTCTCTTCACATCTTTGGACAGGTAGACATTTTAGGAAAGGAAATAAATCAGAGACTCTGATTTCTCTTTCTTTGCTGCCAAACATTCCTAACAACCAGATCCCAGAAAATTTCCTTTCTTCTTGAAAGCCCGTCGCTTCCTTCGCTTAGGGAACAGAATTCTCAAGGGCGTAATGAAGCACCCCTTTGAATGAAGCTGTCACCGACCTGCCAGGGAGAGCCGAGGCAGAGCTATTTTCTGAGCCAGGAGGATGCCGCGCCGCGCCATGGAGGCCGCCATCTTGGAGCATACCAAGGGGAAAGCCGCTGGAGGGAGGGAGGAAGGGGTGGAGTCACGGGCCTATGCTCCGCCCCTCCCGGGCTCGGGAAGTTGGTGCGGCCCGGGACAGCATGGCTACCTCTTGTCGACCCCTCAACCCTGTCCTGCTGCAGGCGCTGCGGAGCTCCGTCTATCCCGGGGTGGGAGGCTCAGGCCCCAGCTGCTGCCGCTGCCCTCTCGGAGGTATCCGCGGTCTCTGACCTTGAAGGAAGGGACACATGGGACAAAAGGGAATTTTAGGCCAGAGCGGGCATCGCTTTGGTTGTGTGACAGCGCTTCAGTGTCGCACTGGCCTGGAGCACCCGGGCCTCTGGTTGCACGTGGGTCCCGCGGTGTCCACTGAATGTCGTGAATGCCAGTGTACCTGGGAGCCAGAAGACATACCCGAGGGGGGTCTTAACCTTGGGGCTGTAGAATTCCCTCCCACCGGGCGACTTTGCTCTCAGGAAACACCCTCCCCTCTTTGAGTGAACTGCTCAGCAGAGATTGGGCACTGAAGTGTCAGTCTGCAGCTAATAATCTGAAAAACTTTGTGCAGTTTTCCTCATTTTGTAAAATTATCCCTTGTTGTCTTTATGAGAATGCCTAATTTGGAAAATACTAGTGATGGAAAATATTGAACACTAATGTTGTTGTTTTTTTTTTTTTACTCTAAGGTTTTTTGTTTGTTTGTTTTTTCAATTTATTTTTTCATGCATACTAGAGCTAGGGTACAAGGTAGAGGTGCCGGTGGTGAGAAGATTCACCAGATACAGAGTGGAGAACAGAACAGGCAGATCGGCTTTGAAATCTACTGCTGAGGGTGGCAGCTAGCCAGGCAGGAGCAGCTGCTGCACCACGTGGGTCACCTCCCTGGCCTGGGATTGAACTCATGCTGCAGTGGCTGCAAATAGCTTCATAGTGCTGGGACTTAACCCCTTATGCCACCCAGGCAGTCCCTAATATAATTTATATACATTAATTCTTTCCTCCTCACAGAGCTCAGTAAGAAAGGTACCATTCTTTTGTCTAGTTGCTGTATAGGTAACAGAGGGGTGGGGAGTAATTTGCCCAAGTTAGAGGCAACTGGTAGAGAGACTTACCACAGTAGCCCTACAGCAGAGTCCTACTCTAATCACTTCACTTGACTGCCTTTCCTTAAAGAAGGTTTTTTTATTGTTGTCTCCTTATTTTTATTGTTGTCTTCTTATTGCAATTCGCAGTTCTCATTTAAGGAGTGAATCTTTGGACAGGCTCCACTCCGTTCTCTGCTGAGTGTCCTAAAGACAGATGTTTCCTTATCTTCTCTACCAATTTGTCAGTGATTTGGGATGCCTTGTCAGGTTTTCTAGAGCTTAAATTTGAGAGGTCATAACTCCTTGTTTCTCAAATGACAGGCATAGCTGTTACATTATACTATAGGTTCTTACCTATAAACTGAAATTAGAGATGCTTTTGTACATTTAAATGATAGAGTTGTGTATGTTTGTGTGCATGTGTGTGTTTTAATACCTTTGTCATCACTGAACCAGATGGTGAGTGTCTGTTAGTCTTTCAGATCCCAGCTTCCTCTCGACACATTCCCATAGGCTGTTAAATCACTTGCTCCTTTCCTGCACACAAAATTAACGTATTACATTCTCTGGTGATTGGGAGATTTTTTTTTTTTTTTCCTATTAGGGTCACTAGCATGTTTGTACCTGTCTAGATTGATGGCTTATACTAGATGAAGGCAATATCAATCATTAAAGTAGCAATCAACCTCTACTCATACATCTGCTAAGTATAAAGCAGTCAAATAATTTTTTTCTTTAATTTTTAGGTAAAAGATACCTACTTACAGATAATATTGTGAAATTAAAAGAATTTCAGAATAAGAAGGTGGCTATTGCACATAATCTTCCTGGCACCAAAGGTAATAGATTTATTTTGTTAATTCTTTCATTGATCTGTTTCTTCTTTTTTTCTCTCTATTCAGTCCCTCAGGACTTTATGTCTCAGAGAATATTGAAACAGTTCCTTTGTGGTCTACTTTTATGTTTACCTTTCATTTCATTCTCCACTACCAAAGTTTACAGCTCTCCTATAATGCCTTTTTTCCAGAATCCCAGAGATATACTAAACCTAACACCAGAAATAGTCCTGTCTAGATTTGTGCAACTAAAGATAAGATTCAAGGATCACAATTAGGATGTTGATAGAAATGCCAAACCTCAGTCCTAGTTAACTTGTGTGCAAAGGTCAGAAAAACTATTCCAGATGCTTGGCTTTCAGCCTTTCTGATGCAGCCCTTACTAAAAAAAATGTTTTATGTAGGATCTCAAGTACATACATACATACCTACACATAAATTAAGAAACAAGACAGTGCTATTGTCTTGATACATTTTTCTATTTTCTATTCTGTGTTGGAAAAGTCAGTAGGCTTAAACAAAGATTTTGTCTAAAAATTAACAAAATATTGACCAATGTCAGTGGGTTGTGATAGGTCATTGTACTGTTCTCACTAGTTTCGGGTGTGTTTGAAAATTTTTCTTATAAAAACATAACACCAGTGCCCTGAGTCCTACTTCCTTTCAGGTTCTGAGAAATCTTGTTGCATTCACTTTTTTTCACATTGAGTTTTTCCCAGAACTTCAGACTCCTTAACAAACATTATAAGGCTCACCTCTCTGTTAATAATTCTTTGTTTCCCATTGACTTTTTCAGCCTTCTTTCCTCTCACCATCAAATTTTATGAGCATGCAATTAACACTTCTTCTCTCCCTTTGCTCATAGTTCTGCCTTCTGGAATCAGTCTCCCCTCACCGTGCCATCCCACTCACCATACTGTTTACTATATCCCACCCCTTGCAGAATAGCATCAGCCTTGGGAGCTGGGAGAATATATTAATCTCCGGTTTAGTAGATGCAATCAAGCTTTTAATTTGTCTTTCCTTTTTACTCCAGATCTTATGGAGCTATATGAGGTTTCCAGAGTTAGGGGCCCTTTGTTTTTTCCAATTGTCATAATCTTCCCAAGGCTATGCTATGACTGGGCATACATTCTGATATCAATTAATGTCATAAGTACCAATTTACTCGATTGTCAGGTTGATGTTTATAAATTGCTGTCAACATTTCAGCCTTATAAGAACATCTAATGGTACTCTGTAGACCACATATTGGGAAACACCCTCCTACTTCCTAGCTCTTCCATGTGGAACCTTTCCCTTTCTGGAGTCCAATGTGATTGCCCGTTAATCTAGTCACGGTTCTCCTTTCACCACCTTTCACCCCCAACTCCGTGCTACTGTTATTTATGCTGATTCCCACCCAAGAATGCACCATCCCCCCCTCAATTTCTCCATCCCTATTCAGCCTCTTCCCCTCAGGTACCTCTCCGCGTCCACCAACCTGCTGTGTTTTTGCCACTCTGATTTCTCTCTTCCCTCCTGTTATGTTTGTGGGCAGTCTCTTGTCACCTCCCCCATCATCGTTTTAGATGACTTTGGATAGATATATGTTGTCATCCTGAATAGACTTCAAGCTCTTTCAAGGCAGGTACCAGACCTTAACCTTCTAATGGGGGAAACTCAGGAGGTCTCTGACTGTGAATTGCTCTAGCACTTGAATCTTGACGGATTTGTTTTAAAGTACAGGGCTCTGATGAGATTTTGGATTGTTAAGATTTATTAAGAAGGATGCCGTACAAGGTAAAATGTTAATCCCATTAAAATCTTTCAGATATTTAGGAAGATTTAACAGACTACACCCTTTTGAATTTCAAAATGACAAGATTAAAAATGTAATTATTGGCAGTAGTTATATGGTAGGCCGCATGCTAATGCCTAGGTACAATTACCTCAGGATAACCCCATGAGGCTGATACCACAATCTTCACTCTACATATAAAGAATCAAGTGTCACAGACCAGAATCTCCCCATAGCATGGAAGTGACAGAGCCTAAATATTAGTGTCGGACCTCTGGGCTCATTCTGCAAATGAAGATTACAGGGTCCACTGCTTCATCTCAGCCTACTGGGTGTTCTTTTCTTGTAAATTAAAAGTGTCTGCCTCAGCTTGCAGACCAGGTGCTTTTAGGTATAGTGTGCCACTCCTGTAAGCAGCATCTCTGTAAAGCTGTGGGCCTTAGAGCAAATCCTATAGACCAGGCAACTTATGATACTAAGAAAAGCCCTTCCTTCTGGAAAGCAGATGCTTGGGACCAGCCTTAAATATCAGTCCACAGACTGGCAAGAATTTATTCCCTTCCTAATGCCAAGTAGCAATGTTTTCTTTTGGTGTCTGACTGCCCTCACAGTTGAACAGTTACACAGGTAGGGGACAGAGAGGGTTACCTTGAAGTGATTCCATTTCTGACAGTGTTGGCTGCTGTTTAGAGAACTGTTTTGTTTTGTTTTACCCATGTGCATTATGTGGTACAATGCTATGTATTGTAACTACTGAGTAGTACTATTATGAAATAGTACTGAATCATATGAAATAGTCCTGAATCAGTAGTCCTTGTATAAATGCACCGTCAGTTCACATTTTTTTAAAAAAGATTATTTATGTATACAAGAAATGGGGTGTAGGCCAGAGGTGGGAGGGTGAGAGGCTTCACCAGAGACAGAGTGGGGAGCAGAACCGGCAGATCGACGAAGTACACTGCTGAGGGGAGCAGCGAGAGGGTCAGGAGAGGTCTGCTATGCCATGTAGGTCACCTCCCTGGCCAGGGAGCCAACTCTTGCTGCAGTGGCTGGTGACAGCTTGATAGTGCTGAGACTTTAACCCTTTGTGCCACCAGGGAGGCCCTTCAGTTCACATTTACATTTTGGTTTTCCAACTAAATGCTCTGCCAGTTGTGGTTTGGATACCTTGTTTACATTACTCTCAATTTCTGTTTTTTCCTCTCATGAGCACAGAGAAGTCTTTTTGACAATTGTTGTCAAACTTCAGTGTGTGCAAAGATCACCCAGGTGTCAAAAATACTTACTCTTGTGTTCATACCCATAAAGATTCTGCATTCAAATTTTTGAGTGAGCCTGTACCTGTCCTTGCTAAAACAAAGGTTCTTTTGCACTGTGCCCGATCCCTGACACTCTGCTCTAGAGGAGGCCAGTCAAGGAGGGGAGCTGCATGCTCCAATATCCTCTCAGACCTTGGGCTACTGCCCCTTCTCACTGAGGTCAGGATCCTGAGTGTTTCAGTGAGCCTGCCTGACAGCCACTACTCTGTCATTTCTTCCAGAAACCTATTTGAGAAACTTGGAAGAGAAGTTGACCCAGAATAAGCTCATATTAAAGGATGAGCTAAGAACCTTACTTCATTTGTGTGAATCCCGGGACGATGTGGAGCTGGCTAAAAATGTCATTTACAGGTGAGGCATTTCCTCAGAATTCCGCTAGCCTTCATCTCTTTTCACTCTTCCTTTTCTTAAGCAATCTCATCCACATCCAGGATTTTAATTACATCCTATGCATGGTTGATATCCAAATCTCTTCTCCAGATGCCTGCCCTGAGCTCCAGATGTTCATATTCATTCATTTAGCAAATACTTACTGGGTTCCTACTACGTTCTTGGTGCTGAGGATGGAAAAATAGACAATTCATGCCCAAAGAAATCTGTTTCTTATTTCACTTACTCATTTCCCAGATCTTCACACTCATTTGCTACAAATCAGAATAGAACTGCATCTTTAAAAGTACACATCATTCCATTCACGTGTCCGGAGGGGCGGGCTGCGGGTCTCCCTTTTTGGCGGCGGCGGGAGAACAGAGTGCGACTGCGGCGGCCGGAGTCATGGCAGGACAGGCATTTAGAAAGTTTCTTCCCCTCTTTGACCGAGTATTAGTCGAAAGGAGTGCAGCTGAAACTGTAACCAAAGGAGGCATTATGCTTCCAGAAAAATCTCAAGGAAAAGTGTTGCAAGCAACAGTAGTAGCTGTTGGATCAGGCTCAAAAGGAAAGGGTGGAGAGATTCAACCAGTTAGTGTGAAAGTTGGAGACAAAGTTCTTCTCCCAGAATATGGAGGCACCAAAGTAGTTCTAGATGACAAGGATTATTTCTTATTTAGAGATGGTGATATTCTTGGAAAGTATGTGGACTGAAATCAA